TTTCTTTTGACAGCGATAGAACAATAATTGATCCTGGTCCTTGACAAGATCGGCAACCTGAAATCTTCGGTTCAGCGGGTCAGACTCGATCTATCTGACACTCCTGTCACTCTTCTCACCCCTTCTCTATGCGTGAAAAAAACAAATAGCATCCGTCTGCCAAGTTTCATGTTATTCTGCACCGAACCTAGACCCCAGTCTTCTGGAAGACGTACAAGAAACAGCCGTCCCCCTGACAGTTAAACGAATTGTCTCTCCAATCACTTCGTTTTCATCCTCTTTACTTTGTTCCTTCACCTATCTGTGGAGTGTCTTCGCATTATAATCGATAATTATTCCGGAACGAGGTTGATCCTGTTTCTAGTACCTTGCGGTGGTTATCATGAGATTGTGATCCCCTGAACCTCTACCATTACCAGAAAGACGACTTTGGATCCCGATGCTGTAATCAAGCAAAATACACACGCCCATCATCAGTCTTTTCACGAATCAAGTGGCGCCAATTGCATATTCTGCCAGTTCCATAATCACTCCATTCTAATACGGCTTCTGTTCGGACAAGTCTCTATACAGACCTTAATCATGAAGATTGAGTCAATTCTAAACCAGTTCAGCGAACTTGACACGGAAGCGAGGGATAGTCGAGAAAGCCCACATATTTTCAATGAACAGAAGGAACATAGAGGCCCGTCACTGTCACTGTCAACTCCGTCACCCGACTGCACTCAGTCTAGAACATCTAGTGTGCGATCCGATAGTCGAACTCGAACGCCTTGGGATGCTGGTGGCTACTCTCTGCCACGGGATATTGGCCCCAAGAACTCCTCGCGACCTCCTTTCACGCCAGTGACTTGGGAGGAGCAGCAGGAATCTGCGAGACGTCAGAATGCATCTAATTACCACTCCAGACAAGTATCAATGGATACATCAGCCAGTATAAATCTTCATGGTTCCGCAGGATCATATGCGCTACCAGTCCGGTAAGAAAACTCAAAACCACAACCCGGTACGGGCATGACAAGCTTGGGGTTGACATTGATTCAAGTAGAATGCCTTCAACTCCAGAAGTCCATCAAGATGCTTGGGCGCCGAAAAGGTACCCCCTTTACTTCCGCGCTGGTGTATATTCCGGCCGGTGTTCGACGATCTAGCTTGACTAACAAGACTAGTAACCACAGCGAGCGCCGTGCTTCCCAGCACATGAGAAGGTGAGTCTTGGTCCTGCTGAAGTGTCAGTGTTGCTGTTCTGCATGATGTTTTGCACACTGGCGGCCAATCGCAAGAGTACACATACTAAAACGAATCAAGATCAAGTCTCTGGACGGAATACAATACGTCGCCCGCGTCAGGGAGCCATAAGATATCAGACAGCCGCAGCAGTTTCTCATCTTGTTGCTCATCAACCTTCTCTGCTGGCCATTCCAGATTCTCGTCGGTATCTACCATCAACGGAAGCAATACGGTAGGCTCTGGCATCGCTGACCTGGAAGCAAAATTGGAGCGGCTTCCAAGGATAACAGCGCCCCTCCCTCCAGTAACAGTCGGTTTGTCTGCGAAGCCGCATGCCCGTCAACGTACCAATGGTGCTGGGTCGTTGTACGCGGGTAGCCCATCTGACACGATTCTAGAGGCGAGGATGATGAGAAGAAAGCACAACCACTTGTCAGAAGATCAAACGTGAGTCAATATCTCTTTGTCCCTATGCAGGAGAAGATGGCTGTCAGCATGAATCGAAGTTCGTTCGTTGTTTGCCCCTTGCCAATCGCCCAAACCATGCATTCATGTATCGTTTGCTTGCACCCCCTCCCCCCGAACAGAAAAAGGAGAAATAGCAGTGTCGAACTATATGGAAGCCTCAGGGGCGCATATTTAGCCGTTCGTGAATCACAGACAATGCTCCTATTGTCAGGAGAAAAACGATTGCCTGCTGCAGACGCATCTCGGATGGATTATGTTTAGTCATAAAAGCTGGTCCGTTAAGCGGGAGGAACTTGGCCCTCGAAAGCAGCATTGTCCCACTACCAACCTGGCCTCGAGCCGGTGAATCACCCTGCGTGCTTATAGTTCTTCTCAGGCCGCCTGAAAAATGCTTGCATTCTTCTAGCTCCCCCGTCCATCTTTCACTCCTTATGTCCTCGCACATTCCCCTTGCTGTCTATTGTCACTTTCAGCCTATAAATTTCCCACCAGGAATATACTGACTCTGTTCCCTTTGTTCAGCTATTTGAAGCCAAAAGATCAGTTCCTGAATTCGTTAGATCGCGTTCATAAGCGAACCATCTCGGCACCAAACCCCGCCCAGAGCTCTAGTCATTCTTTTCCTCAAGCACCAACTTCTCTGCCACAATTTACGTCCCGGCAGCTTCGTCCTCCAACACAACTGTCACCACAGATCAACACATCTCGCGACCGTCTTGGAATCGAGAAGTATCCCTGGATCCATACGGGAGAGAGCTCCCCTGCACCTAGTAGTGCATCAACAAAGTCGCCCTTCCATCCCTCGGAGACTGTGAGGATGCAGTCTAACGGGACTCTTCTAGGTAATCTTTGCCTTCTCAGTATTCTCTTTTGACGTCAACTAATGAGTGTAGGTGCATCTGGACAGGCGGCGTCCCATGCTAACCAAAATGATCGTGTTCTTGCAGCATTGCATACCTTGGAAAACGTAACCATCAACGTTCCCCTTAAGGGTGGGGACATTTGTATGGCAGTTCCCGAATGCAACACTGATTCGGTACCTCGCAAGGTCATCTCTCATATTTTCGGCCGCAACAAGGTCTGCACTCGTCGCATCCCGGAGCGCGTCTGGGTTTGCATGTGTCGCAAGCACTATCAGAGGATTCGCTACCGAACTGGTATCAGATTCAGCTACACTCAGATCAATTTGGTGTACGAGCAGATCATCCGGATGATCTTCTGGAGCCGAGGTCTGGAGAATGCCAGCAGAACTAATCAGGAGGGCATAACGATCCGATCGTGGACATTCTCGATTCGAAGACGTGAGGTTAAGCGCCTGGCAGACACGAACAGTCGGGATCCCATCCCTCACTGGATCATGCAGAGCCTTGGCGAAGGCAAGACACACGATGAGATCCTCGATGTTATTGAACGTCTTTGCCAAGAGATCGATCACGGGGATCTCAGAGAAGTTCCTCCTGTCGAGTTCCTCCCAGAGGTTGTTGATGCCTTCACGAACCCGCCTGCCCAGGTCCAGATCCATCAGACATCGGCCAGCAGTCAATCCAGCCGTTCGTCTTTGATGGCTGGGGAGGCAGTTCCGTCCCCCCTCCCATTTGTGAAAGAATCGTCGCCCCTCGAACCAGTTCAAGAAGAGGGATCTGCGAGTGAGCATTCTAGCCAGCAATCGTCTTCGTCGCCCACGCCTCCTGCTGCTTTCAACGGATCTCGACCCGCTCATCACTCCAGATCGTATACCGATGATATCTCCAACCGGCCTGCTCCCTACTCATTCGGCTCTCGGTCTCCCCTCGCGAGCGCTGGCATCGGGCCAGACACTGATCGACAACCCAGTCTTGGATACTATGACAGTCAGAACCCAACAGCACCTTCAATGAGCTATTCCAGTATTAATCGTCATATGCAGGCGCCGATGACCGATCACCGAGGTTCCTGCGATAACGCCCCTTATTACCAACAGTCTTATGGCGGCGATCACTACTATGACCCAAATGGATTTGTACTGACTGATAGAAACCTCTCGATCCATACCGCCGCTATGCCAATGTTGGCCAGAGCGGATCAGATGTATGGCACCGCAGGCTATGCTGCCCAACACAGCCGAGACAACCACTTCCTTGCGTCGACGGTCAATACTCAACCCATGCCCGCGCCCCTCAATTATCCCTCTTACGGGACTCCTCCTTTTCAGGCTTCAGGAGCGGGTTACTCGTATCCAGCTCCGGAAGAACGTCATTCTCAGCTTAGAATGAGCGGATTAGACAACTCGCTGCATCATTCCATGGCAGACGAGCGCCCGTACTCTGATGCTCCGCGTTCACAAATCCACCAGCCAAACTGGTTTTCCGCCGAGACTGGGTCGAACACTAGGATCGGCCGCTCTATGAACCAATACCAGCAGCACACATTGGCTTCCGTTGACCAAGCTAGCCTCCGTCCCTCGCGCCAGTACCCAAATGAAGAAATTCCAGAGTATGGCTTTGCTGATCTGGTCGCTGATGAAGGTGTTCCGACCACGCAACCAGCAGTGGCCCACCGTCCAAGATTCCAACACGGCTACGCATCCCCCCCCGAGTTCGACGACACTCTCGCTCGAGGCAATTACCAGGCATATCAACACAATCTTTCGACTAATGGCGATGAAGACAACATCCACGGTGATCAAGCTTCCGACAGCGATCGCCGGTAAGGAATAGATCTCCTCAATGACGGTAGGGAGCGCAAGTTTTTGAGGCCTGGCCTTGTATGCCACTTGTGAAGCTTCCTGCTTTGCCACCTTTTTCTTTTTGATACGAGCTGCACGACGATAATGAATTTATCTAATTTGCGTTGCTTCCCCGTCTGGGGCTGTTCATCACTGCTGAACTGAAAAAAACATTGCTCCCTCAGCAATCGCCCGTTCCCTCCACCCCCTTTTTTGGTATTTCCAGCCCGTTGTCTGGGTATATCGCCCCTTGGAGCACCCGAGAAAGCACGACGACACAAAAACAAGGCATGTCTCGGCATAACTTGACACAGGGCGGATATTTGCTTGTTAATGCGATGATTATTATGATTGCTACACCGCCTGGGATGGGATTTGCTATTATGGAGATGGCTTATGACATAAAGTTCGTAACCTTGCTGGTCTGAGGCGGCCATAAGTAGCCAGATAGATGATAGGTGAATCACACATCTGAACAATATTTTGATGAGGAATCGTGATAAGATTCTTGTTGATGGCGCTATGTGATATCCGCTTTTCTTTGTTGAGAGATATTCGTGACTGCTGTGAGATCTAGCAGGGTTGCACAATCTTGATGTCAATCCCCCCTGAACATGATGATGCCGCCGTCCCAGTCCTTCAACTCTCCAACATTGGCCCTGGCCACTTCTACATAGCCAAAACGCTTGTAAAATTTGTCGAGCCCACGCAATCCCACCAGCCAAGTGGGAACTCCTGCACGATCGGCCGCCTCCAGGCCATGCTGAAGGAGCAGGGAACCATAACCACTACCTTGGACATGAGGAGAGACCCCAAGGCTAGACAAATACCAAGCTGAACGACGCCGGGGAGAATTGAGTACGTCGGGTTCAATGGTACTGAAAACGCGGTCGTAAATACCAAGTCGATGAGAGTCTACGTGGCGAAGGGGAAATATGTAGGAATGTATTTTCAGCGCCGCCAACATAATGGGGGCAACCCAAGCGTCTGGATGAGTCAGTGCTTCGAACGGGTTTTGGTATTCACCGGGCTTGAGTGGATAATGCAATAGTTGGCAGAGATTCAATGAAGAGACTTACGAATTGAGAGCCATCGTTCACGGAAAGACAATGAGTCGTCCGGTATATGCCACCAAGTGAATCCCACAGTCCTGCCTCTAGCATCATCTAGCATAGTGAGAACGTAGCCGGGCGTCCAGTAGCGCATACGAAAGCGCCGAGTAACCCACTCGCGAAAGGGAGTTGAGTCGGTGTGACGGCTTGGGAACATGAAGTCGAGCAGAGTTTCTTTGTCGAAGCTCTGCATATAGATATCTGTAGCCACAGTGAGATCGGCGCTGGTGCCGGGGCGGATGTGATGGGGCATCTCTGCGGATGTCATATGCTTGGATGGCCCTTGAAGGTGAGTGAGCTTTGACTCCAGCGATAAGATCCGAGTGTCAGTCTGGTATAAAAATAGGTCTTAGATCGGTCTTCGGGGAGTGTTTTGAGATCAACAGCACAAATTCAACCTCTGGACCCGCGTATTGGTAGTTGTCTTCGTATTGAGTTAACGTATGGGGTTTGCTTTGGAGGGATCAATGGACCTAGTCACCAGGTGATTGGCAAACAGCACTCTCCATTCAGTGAACTTTGGTTTCCGTTAAGCTGAAAGTTTGCACATCAAGTAAATATCAATCGACATTTGCAGTTATTTAGGCAAGGCCCAAGGTGGGGATATGTCTATCAAGCTGCCATAACGGGATTTACGCCGGGTGAGTCAGTAGTTGATGTTAATTCCGAAAACGCTCGGATTTTGCTCTGACGGAGCAGGGGTCCTCTCGCTTAACCGCCTATTAGGGAGTGTATATGGCATGCTCTCTATTCAGCTTGATGGGTAGGCATCTGACTGATATCGCGATTTTTCTTTTTCTAAAAAATAAAAAAACCTGCTGGTGTTGCGGGAAATATTCAACGGCTATCTTACCTTAGTAGACATGCACTAGGTTTTCGTGAGCTTAATTTAGCAACTACTTGCTGAACATCCATGGAAAGATAAGACAGGACTACCTATACCAGCATCAAGAGCGCGAAGGAAGTAGGTACCTTAGTCCGCAGCCCTGCTGGTAGTGAGTGACATGTCGTATCCATCGTGGCAGAGTCAGTTGATTCGCAATCTCGATAGGTCTCTTTCCTATCTGAGGTAGTTGAAGCAAGGTCAGTTCCACTGCCCCCGGATATGGATCGCATCAGTCAAGTGGGAATGGGTCAATATCTAGGGTTTTGAGGGAGGTCATTGTTGGTGCATTAGTAGGCAACTTAGCTGATGTTTGAATGGAAAGGTATTAGCTTGCGATTAGTAAACAGAAGTCCACCAGATCCCAGTGTTTCTTTTATTAGAATATGATGGGTTCTCGTGTTGTCTGTACGAAAAAGAAAAAGGTCGTATGGTGGCATCTTATCTTTATCAATGTTACCCATGGGGCCAGCGAGGCGGTGATGTCATAAACATTGGAGTCCCTACCGCAGACAATCGAAGCTGATGCTAGAATGAACTTGAAGGGTTCAGTTTGAAGATGCTTTATAAGAGATTTGATGTGAAGTCGACTCGTGTATGATCGAGATCTGAGGAACTAATTGCTTCAGAAAATCATTCAGCATTGTCACCAAACTTGCTTAGATGGGCATGATTAATTCAGACCAACCCGCAACTCCAACTCCCGTAGCGGATGGCCCGTCCCCTCGAGCTACTACACCTAATTCTAAGCGTAAGGTAAGCTTGGCTGCTTGGGTGGCACGTAATGTCCGGGCGCGCTAACCTGCAAATGACATCGCTGTAGATGGGGGATGCATCCACCATGGGCATGACATGACCATGGCCTCACTGGGCTGAGAGGTAACGGTCTCTCCGGGGAATCGGGAGGGGGGATTTGCAGCGTGACCCGGCATTTCGGACGCATGAGATGTGATTGATTGATGGATGGACGGATTCGATGTTAGGGGTACCTAATTCCTCTCAGACTTCAAGCAGCGCAGTATGTACTTACCTTACTTACTGATTGAGTACCTACCTACCTACCTATGGTAGGTAGTTAATCAATCTAGGCCCTGTATCTCTCCCGATTAGTGGGGTTTAAGGGTTAATCATGCCTCTCGAGGAAGCCATCTCTGCAGTCGTCGTCTGGGCTTAATACTTAGGTCGTTACCTAGGGCTGTAGTTGAACCGTTCCATGATCAATATCCTGTACTATACTACCTTAGTAAGTAAGGTAAGGGAAGTAAGTGCCAAGGTAGGTAGTTCAAACTCTCCGTCCACCAGGCATGTGCTGTCCATGTTCCTGCTTGCTTCGTGGATTTTGGCTCCTGTGTCTTTTCCCTTTCAGGTTACTTGCGACATTACACCTTATTTGAAATCATCCCTGAGCTGGCAGGCCCTTGTGCCCCCGCTCTTTCCGCTGTCTTCTTTCTTCTTTAGTTAGGCCCCATTGCCTTTTTGTCCAATTTCCAATATTTATCTTATCCTTTCAAATCAACATCTTCAGCCTTCTTCTCACAGCCTTAGGTTCCATCACCATTGCCCCCTGCAGCGGCTGACTAACCGATTAGACGTCATCCTTGGTTTGGTCCCTGTCAATCTTGACCTTGCACCTGGCACCCGGCGCCCATCTACCGGGTTCGCCATCTAGAGTGCCGTATGTACAACACGGCATAGCGTACAGCGTACAGCTACCTACCGCCCGCTGTGCTGCGCATTTGCTGTGGTCTCTTTGCAGTGCGTATCTGCAACCACCCCTCGGCCTATTCTGGCCCCAGGCCTGGAAGCATCAAGAGACCCATCGACATCTAATCAACTCTGTGGCCCGGGGGGGCATCATGTTCTCTTCGTACTGAGACTCGACGTCAAATAGCCCTCGTTCCCGGCCTCAATGTCTCGGTTCTCCTCCTCTCTTTCCTTACCATCAGTCTCATTATCAGTATCAGACAACAGTCTCAATCTTGCATCAAGCTCAACAACACGTACACATACACTCACATTTACATCTGCATCTGCATCTTACTCCTGCTCACGGTATACGCCTATCAAACCACTCTGTCTAGGTAGCTCAAATTCTTCCATTACCTCCTTGCTGTCTGACATAATAAAAGCGTAGTCAGCATAATTCGTTTTTTCTAACGTACACCCACCACACTACCTCCTCAAAGTACAAGCCCATCTTACGGGCTACATATCAGCCACCACGGATCCCAGAAGAAGAACCATTATGTCTCGCTCCGTGTCATCTTCACGGGGCTCTGAGTCTCCAATGGAGCCTGAACGTGCGCACAGAGCCTGTGAAAAGTGTACTCGTACCAAAAAGAAATGTGATAAAGCATTGCCTGCTTGTTCTCGCTGTACGAGGTGTGTAACTGCCCTTGCAACTCGATTTTCCGATCTCCTTTGACTAACTCGCTAGACTTGCAACTACGTGCTCCTATGATTTTATCTACACGGCCCCAACAACCGCTGTTGTGGAACCTGGATATCTTGCAGGATCTACACCTAAAGAAGCATATGGACAGGGTATATTTGACCCTGCTTTTGATGTTTCCAGCTCAATGGTGATGGCGTTACTGTCATCGCGCAACATTCCTTGGCGTGAGGCAACCGAACGCTACTTTGAGACAATGAATCCCTGGTTCTCTGTAATCCATCCGGAACTCTTTGCCATCCGTACGGACAACCTAGGGTCAGGGGCCAGCTCCAATGCCGATCAAGGACCCCGCGACCCTGCTGTTGCTCTCCTAATCGTTTGCATGCAGCTCGTCTCTCAGTACGATGATGAAGCTGCTGCCGCGAGCACCAACGTTAATGAGGGTAAGGATATGATTGAGATGCCAGCTTATAGGGCTGCCAAACGAGTCCTGAGCGTCTTACGTGGTCTTTCTGCTCCTAGCATTGAACTTGTCCAATGTTCCATCCTGCTGGCACTCTTCGAGTTTGGCCACGGTGATGTAATGCGTGCTTATGTGAGTATTGGAGATGCAAACACCATGGCCATGGTCCTGCGCATCGGCCCTGGAAAGTATATCGAAGCTGAACGAGAGGCCAATATTCCATTTGAAGAGGAAGAACGCCGCTGTGTCTATTGGAGTCTTTTCGTCCTCGATCGTCTCATTCATGTCGATTGTTCTCTCATTCATATGCCACTTCAAGTACCATCCCCAGCCGCCGATGATTTACTGCCAACAAGCAATCTCATTTGGCACAATCAGAATCAATCGCCCACACGTTCTGTTCAGCGACACCCAGCCAGCGTGGCCCCTTCGGTACCTCTGGGGCCATTCCAAAGAAATTGTCAATGTGCAATGCTCTATACAAGAGCCTATTCTCCGAAACCCCAAGGGAACCCCAATGCCTTGTTAGAGGAGTATGTCGAACTAGATATTGCAACGCGTGCTCTTGTCGAGGCTATGATCATGCAGACTTCTCGTTGGGGAGATTTCTACGAGTGTTTCGCCACTTGTACATGGTAAGACGGACCCTGGGACATGAAGCACAGCCGAATATTGTCTCTGTCCAAAGGTAGTTCTTAAAAATGAACTGACAATTGACCTAGCCTCCTTCTTTTCCTTTACTGTCGCCAGCTTCGCGCCGCCAACACCATATCCGCTGCAGGACCCTTTTCTCCAACCGCTGATGACATCGCCCCAAAAGCCATCGCCGGTCTTAATTTCACGATCCGTATCATTGCCGACACTACAACCGACTTGAACGACCAACTCGCCCATCGCCCTCACCTTCTCGCCCCCTGCTCACCTGTCACGCCATACTCCGCTTACCACTGCCTCATGGTCCTGAGCCACCTCGAGCATCTAATCCCTGAAGCTGACACAAGATTTCACAACATATTTGCGTCATTGCACTTTTTTGCTAAGAGATGGGGAGTCGCTGGTAAGTTCTTAAGCTACTAGCAAGGCGAGCCGTACAGGATCGAGCCATAGAGCAGAAAACGACGTAGTGGAAAGGCATCTGACTCTGTACAGGACAACTTGTCAACAAGGTTGAACTGTTTCTAGCGGACGCCGACGAGACACAATGGTGCTTCATGGATGAATGATGCAACCACGACGAAAGCTATATAAACGCACCATGTTTATCACATGATGCCATCCAACCGAAACGACTGTATGTTGGGTATTAACTAGGACGAATTGCAAGACCTCTTTGGCAATATTGACAGCTTTTTGAGCTCTTACATCACAACTCCATAAGGCGAGACATTGCTTCATTACCTTGGCATACCGCGAGGTTTCAATTATTTCTATTCGTTTACAACCGAAGATAAATGCGTATACCAAAGCACATGCACGATCATAGTACACGACAACTCCAACTAGACGGCCGGCTTCTCAGTCTATCGG